TTTTTTTTATCTCTTTCAGAGTCGAGCGTTCCTCGGATCAGGTCATCAAGCCAGTAAATTTGGAAGCGCTATCCAAATGGGTGGGCAACATACCCGATAATGTGGTGCGTGATATGGCCGATATTGCGCCAATGTTGTCCATTCTCGGCTATGATCCCTATGCGAATCCACCGGATTATGGTAAGCCAGATGCTTGGGTACAGGATAATACATTTAAGGTATGTATGTACTGCAGACTTTTCGCCAGTTAATGCCTCGTTAATTTGTGTGTTTAGTTTTGTTTTCCTTTACATGTTTGTGGACACTGTTCGAAAATGTTCATCTTTGTTTTTTACGCAGCATTCATTGATTCACTCAGTTTCCCCCATCATAAAAAATAATTTTTTTTTTTAAATGAGTTATTCACTTACCAAATAGCAGGCGTTCGTAACGTCTTTTTCACGTTAAATGCGATTCGTTATTTCATATTGCGCACAAACTCGGTAATTTATTTAGTTATTCACTCTCACTTTATACGTGCATACTTACAAACATACAAACATATTTATTTGGCTTACTTCCAGTCCATTAAATACGAATTTCCGTTTCTATGAATAAAATTTCAGCGCATACATCCCCACGTACATACATATGTATGTAATTTGTACATTTGTTATAAGATATCTACTAAAACGGATAGACAGTTGTTTAAGCAAAGTGCATGTGAATTTGCATGTGTGCGTTAAGCGATTTACAATTCAAATCTTTGATTATGGATTTTATAATGGCATTTCTCAAATATCCTTCCATGCAGAGTATTGCATTAAAACATTCACAAAGTCACACTCACACATACATATGCATAGTCCGTACTCTACTTTCATTGTCGGAATTCATCTAACATTTGGGTTATGACATGCTTTTTCGCATTCCTCACATTCTATAAAGCAATTTTTTTGACAACGTAATGAATTCGTAGTATAGAAGAAATGCACATAGCCATCGCCAGTTTATAAAAAAAACCGAGAGTAAATTTTGAGTTCTAAAAAGTTTTTTGAGTAAGTACAATCGATCGATTGGCTGTAACGTGAGAATCCACAGCTTCAAAGTCTTTAAAGTCACAAATCACACTTCAAACCAATAATAAATGAAAATATCTGTTAGAAAAAGAAGATTTTATTGTGATAGAAAAACTCGAAAGAAAAAAGGGAACGGATTGTTGACAAAACCGTGCGGCATTGCTTTTTTTTTTAAAACAAGTGCAATTTACGTTGATTTCTTGTTGCAGAAGGTCTTGCGGAATTTATTTCATAAGAAAATTCATATTCATATATATGGAAAAAGGGCAAAACACGTCAGAAAAAAACAGATTATTAAAAATTAACGCGATTTTTTAACCGCTTGTAAAGTTCGAAATTTTGATGAAAATTGTTTTTTTTCCTAAATTTCGCATTGTTTTGTGATTCATATACATAAATATAGTCAATCAATAAAGTTTAGGCACAGTGATTTTTTCTTGCAACACGGGCAACTGTTTTTTAATTATTTAATTTTTCGCAATTTTTTTATAAAAATATGGTTAATTTACAACCAAGACACCAAAAATCCGAGCAAACTTTCATCAAAATATTACACTTTTTAATTACACTCTTTAGAAAAAAATTGAGTATGCAGTTTTTTAGCCCATTCAATTTTAGTATAACAAAGTGCAAGTCTGGGGTAGCTAGGACTTACCATTGATTTTTGGCAAATTTTTTTGATGAAGGTGTCGTTCAATTTCTCCATATAAAATAATGTTAGATTTTTTTTATATGGAGAACAAAAAATAAATAAAATAGAAACTTCTAATTAAATACAAATATTTTGTATATACTGAGATCAAACGCTTAAAGTTAAATTGGTAGATTAGATTAGATATTAAGATCGACGCCATCACAGGTCTCGCATTATACATTGCAATGTTCTCTGCATAAAAAATTGGAGCGTATGTATCTTACATTTGTAAATACTCTTTTTATTCAAAAAAAGTACTTAATTATCGCACGACTCAATAGAGCAGCGGCGCATGCTTCATTCGCAGCAGGGTGATGAGCTTTCGCAAGATTTAGGAAGCAAGGGGCGCGCGGGGAGGATTCAATCGAGTAATTAAGGGTTAATAGAATATTTCCCCAAAGCAAGGGAAACTCTAACCCTCTTAAAAAATTTGTGATGAGATGCAGCAAAATCCTTGAGTCGGGTGACTAGCACGTATAAACAAATACTAACTTTGGGGAATTGTTTGGTTAGGGCCCAAATATGGCGGTTCCCCTGAGGAAGAAAAAACGATGACCGGCCTTGTTTTAAGATAGCAGCGATTCTACAGCACTGCTAGTCCCACAAATCAAGTTTTACATTCCGTGCGACTAACCTCTCAGCATTCGAAAAAAATTAAAAACTATGCAAAAAAGTCATCAGTTTACAATTTTTCGACCTTAATTTCACTGTAGCCTTAGCTTCCTCAAGTGGGCCCCGAATTTACCAAGCTTAATATTTTTCAATGATATTCAGGCAGCACCGAGGTTTTTAGTCGAAAAGTACACTGTGTAAATTTTGTTGCAAAATTCCAGTTTATTTTTTTAATCAATAATTGAAAATTTTTGCAGTGTTTTGGAAATTTTTATTTTTCTTTGAAAGTAAGTGTCCGAATGAAAAAATTTTTTTGGGTGCAGATTTAAAAAACATTAAACTATACAATGAAATTATTTGCGTTACAAAAAATTTTTTTTTGCTTTTCAATATTTATTTTTTTTTGTTATGAATAATTGAACATTTAAGCAATTTCTGCGCCTCGTGGAGGAAAATTTTTAACAACAACTTATGTAATAAATATTTCTGCATTTATCTATGAAAAAATGCGTGCTTTTTGATATATGTATTTGATATATGAATTTTTATTTGCTAGCGTGCGGGCCGGACTCTCGTGGCTGGATCGCGCGCAATCCGCGTTGACTTCTTGCGCAAGAAAGAAATGCACGTTTCAATCGGTCCACTTTTGTTTCTCATGCTCGAATTTCGCATGCCCGCTGTACTACTGTATTTTATTTTGTCTTACTCTTATTTTATTTTATTTTATTTTATTTT